GGGTGAGCGCCGCCGGGCCGGGCCGGGAGGGCTCCGCGCGGGGCCGACGGGGGTGGGCGGGAAGTTAGTAAACAAGTGGCGGTGCCGGGCGGGCGCGGCGGGTCCTCCCGCACCAGCGCCTTGCTCGGGAGCGGGGGCGTTTCCTCCAGTGGTGGCGCCCCAGTGCGGCGGGCGCTGGGCGCGGCGCGGCTCCAGGGAGCGCGGGGACCCGCGAGGGACACGGGAGTCGCGGGGCCAAGCGGCCCTCTGCTCTGGGGCGCCGGGGGGCAGGCCCGGGGCCCGAGCGGGTGGTCCGGGGAGCAGCGCAATTGAAAACCAGCCGTGGAGAGCGCGGGCCTGGGTTTGACAGCCAGAGAACGGCGCCTGGCGCGCCCCAGTGTCCAGAGGCATCAGGTGGTGTTAGACGAGGCGCTCCCAGTCCCAGGGCCTGCGCCCTTGCAGGGGCCCAGAGCAGGGCCTAGAAAGAGGAGGCCTTTCTTTCCCTCTCGGCATGTTCAGTCCTTCTGATCTGAAATATCCTTCTGTCCTGGGTTTTTCCCCTCCTCACACTACTCCAGGGCTCTCTTCATGAAGCCTTCCCTATTTTTCGAAAAAAGTTTCTCTTTGTTTGAATATTTTGTTTCTGTTGCCCACAACTAACTCTGTTTTATTGCCTAGTTTGGGAGGGTATTTGCTCTTCTTTCTCTCCTGAATTCCTGTTTCCCAGCTTCCCCTGTCAGTGAGATTCCTTCCTCTTCTCCAGAGGGAACGTCCCCTCCTTTTTTTTTCCCTTGGTCATCATGGCACGTTACCATTGGGATTTGAGGTGCTGCTGTTTTTCTGCAGAAGTGAGCTGTGTCTGCACTATCAGTCCTGCCCCCACTCCAGCTCTCTCCTAAACGTTACAGAAAAATAAATAAATAAAGTGGATTTATTTTATTTTGTTACTTTTAAATGGTTTATTTTTTAAAATAATCCTAAATGAAGTTTGAATGTAATACAAAATATGTTAAGGCCTGAATTACTTATAATATCTCAAACATTTTAAATAAAAATATATATGCTGAACCCACAAACCTCTATCAGAAACTTAATTATAGACTGCACACTTTTTATAAAAAGAGAGAATTGGTTGGGCGGGGGGGGGGAAGAGGATGACCAGATTTTTGAGGCCAACTTCATAAATATGGCACAATAGATAAGTGGTTGATCCTGTTGCCGGTCCATCAGCAGTATACTATATTCACCATTTTAAACCAATTACGAATGTAGAATATTAAATTGTGTAGCTGCTTCAATAAACGCACGTAGTTACAGTATATGTTCCTAGGTGGTAAGAAGCTGTATCAAACCTACTGCAAAGGCTTTACAGAGTTGTAAATCTACATGCTTTAATAGGTATATCAACCTATAAGCAAGCATTAGTCTTTAGGAAATAACTAAAGTACAAAAAGGAAAAGTTGATTAAAACTGATGTTTTAAATCAAGGCTTTCCTCCTAGTGATTAAAACAATTATTTAAATTAGTCCAGCTTGCCCCCTTCGTTCTGGGAGGCCAAAAGAGTTTATTGTCACTGTTGCTTACGGTTCAAGAGGGACAGACTTGGACATCATCCAGGGGCATTGTTGAATTGAGAAAATATGTATTTGAGACAGTAGTTTATGAGAAGACCTCTCATCCAGCATTTTAATAATTTTTATTGTCATAATTTTCTATTTAAAACAATTCTTTATTCTGGGGGAAGCTGGCTTTATAAAGAAAAATGAAATTAAATCCAGAGTGAACAAATTAAAAAAGAAAAACAAAACCATGAAGTAGTCTCTGCTTTTTCACTTAATTATTATGAGTGTTATGTGAAAGAGTAGTTAGTTTATGTATTTAATAATACAGTTCAGATAAATGGGAAGGAAGAAGAAGGGTTGTGAGTATTTAGCTATTGCTATATTTGTTTGATTTTTTTTTTTCTTCCCCTTGGGAAATATTATTCACGTTAATAAAATTGTTCCTATAAGTCTTCAGTTAATGTTGTGAGAGGCCTGGTCTCCAAACATAAAGTTGTGCCTGTTTAAAGGTTTTATGTTAAATTGATACAGTTTAGCGTATGGGGAACACCTAAGTAAAAGTTGAAAGGGGTTTAAACTCGGGTATCCTGACATACAATTTCACTAACTTCACTAAATTATTGTAACGTTGTAGTATCTTTACTTAAACTAGTTCAATTCTGTGTGTACTGAAGCTTGTAAGTAGGTAAAATGTGCTTATGTGTTGATGTTAAGAGCAGCCATCCTGTAGATTTAGGCAACAGAAGCATTGATTTTTAGCCTGATGTAACCTTGGTCACTGCAGCCCGCCCAGGTTTCTATTAATAGTAGAGAGACTCAAGTGTGGAACTTGCTTCCAAGCTTTATCTGCCATTTGCCTGGCTCAGATGAAATTTTGTCTAGTTACTATATGGGAAAGACAGAACTATTGGTATAATTTTTCTGTGACTTGATCTCCTATGTTCTGAATTTTGACTTAATAGTTGACACTGAAAAATATTTTCTAGTATAGTTTCTTAACTAAGTGTTCAGTAACTGATTTATTGGAAAGAAAATCAGTCTCACCATCTAGTGTGTGCTCTTTTTCTTCAAGGGGTTAATGGAGAACCTAGCATGCTGTGATATAAAAGTATGTATCTAAATCAGTGGTTTTTGACTTTTTTAGGCTCGAGGCATCCCTCAGTAGATCCAAGGCACCCCTTGGAAAATTACAGCTCCTAGCTTTCACTTATTTTTTTAATTGGAAATAATAGTACAGTGCTTTTGAGTACAAGAGGTCAGAATGTCTTAACAGTAAGGGTTCCTGTTTGAAACCTCTGGGTTTATTCTGTAAATCATGTTTGCACACCTAACTGTTACAATTGTGTGGTACCCTTGGAAGGATCCTCAGGCACCCTTATCTAAATGCTTCCATAATGCTTTTACTTCAGCTTGTAACCAACTTCCTAAAGATATCAGTATAGCATATACTTGCAAAGTTTATTCAGGCTTCTTTGCAACCATGCAGTATCTCTAGTATAGCATACAGCTGCTGATTATGTTTCAAATGGCTTGCTGAGTTGTGAATTATGTTAGATTATATGATGTTGTACAAACAAACCTTTTAATTCTCAGGTAGTTTTCAGCATTTCTCATCTCTGCTACAACCTGTTAAGCAATATCCATTGCACATGTAATTCTGATTTTACACCTTGGACTTGAGAAATTACCAACAGTATACTCCACTTACTTGCTTATCAGATAAGTGCATAATTTCCTTAACTGAATAACAACAGTGCCAGTCTCAATTTGTTGCCTAATGCTTATATGCTAACAAATTCAAGTTCCTGCACACCAGTTAAGTGCCTAAGCCACTTAAGCACAATAGGATCTCTTAGCCCCACTGTCTGTTTTGTAACTTAATTGTCCTCTGACTGCATAGTTGTTTCTAGTCTGTTTCAGCACTCAGTTTCCAGATTTCTAAAGCAGCTTTGAACTGACTAGGTCCTGTCCATTTCAAGATTCCTGAGGAAGGCATAAGGTTAGAGAAACAAGGTAACCAGTCTTAATGAAACCGTGAAAAGCTTTTCCTGAAATTGAGCTTTGTTTATATTGACTCAGTGTAAGTGCATAGTCCGGGTATATGCATAGTCTTTTTCAGTCCCAAAACTATGCCCTTGAACAGTGTAAGTTGTTTGAAATTTTACTTGGACACCTGCTTTCTAGACTAGAAGACTAAAGCTGGTAATTAGAGTTGTGCTTTATTGTATGTTAAGAGCTAGTGACCTGTCTCCAGACTAAAATGTTTTGTTGCTCACAGTTAGACATCTTAGAGGAGAGCGTAAGTAAAACGTTTTAACTATACAAAAAAAAAAACGAATAAGGAAGGAGGAGGGGTTTGAAGAAAAACTAAATAAAAAAATAGAGTATTTAAATATCCTCACAGTTCAGTATTATAG